TCGGAGGCGTTATAAACTTATTTTTCACCCACTTGGAACTGAGAATAAATATTATACCTGATTACTGAATGCAACGACGTGTGGATTATTTGTTGATGGAGTTTCTGGAGCGGATTCCTACTCACTTGTAGGGAGCTCATTGAGCATCCCTACATATATTTCTTATACTTAAATTGAATATTTTCCAACTTTAATCAAATATATTTCCCATAAACGTAAATTTAAAATTAAACTAACAAAAATTTCAATTGAATATTTTCAAATTTCGATTAAATATATTTCCTATTAAAATACAAAACTTTAAAAATATTAAAAAAAAATTAAAAAAATTAACCAAATTTTTTTTAGATATTAAATTAATGAACCAAAATTAAAAAAAAAGTGGAAAATAAATTAAAAAAAAAAAAAAAAAAAAAAATTAAAGACATATTCAAAATAAAATGTTTTTAAATGTTAAAAAGTTTCAATAATTTAAATCAATTTCAAGCAAAAATTAAAAAAAAAAATGTTTTTTAAAAAAATTTAAATTAAATTTATATTAAATTTAAATTAAATTTAAAAAATTAAAAAAAAAAATACAAGAATTTTGAAATGTTAAAAAAAATTTAAATGAACTTTAAGCACAAATTAAAAAAAAATTTTTATATGTTCACATTTTTCTTTTTAAAACTTGTAATTAAATTTTTCATGAAATCAATTTGAATTTAATTGAAATATGGGTGTTTTCTCTTGGTTGATGCTCTTTTTTTTCCCCTCTGCTGTGACCATGGCCTGATCCTGCTGGGTCCTGGTGCCTGCTGCGCCTTGGCTGTGTTTAATCTCTGCCCGGCAAGCTGCAAGCTGCAAGGTGCATCCCTCATCGGTTGGTCAGAGGTGAACGTTTGAGTAATGGAAGCTGTCGTCACGGCGAACAAATGAAGCGAGTGCCAGGGGCCGGTTATCAGTGCGTGGGCCAGCACCGAAAAAAGCAGGACGACTAGCCAAATGCTAATTGAATTTCCATGCAACTGATTATCAAATGTAGGAGGGCCTGATTATATGGCAGCCTTTGACGCTGCTCCTCATTCATTTTGCAGGATTAGTAATTAAACAGATGGCCCCGTTTCCCCCCTGTAATCGCATTATTAACGCTTAACATGGCCAAATCGGGGACCAATTCAAGTTGGTTGACTTTTATGTGGGAACAAGCCAGTCCACTGGCGGCACGCTTTAGGCTTTGGGCTAATTAATGAGAAAAAGCTTTAAAGTCGCATATCCTTTTTCGTTTCTCCCTTTTTCCTTTTCCCTGCCGCCGCATGCGGAGGTTTTTCTCTGTTTACACCACAAATATGCCCCGAAAGCAAATCAAGCATAATCAAATTACTTCCACTCGATTGGTGTTTATTGATAAATTACGCCACAAACAATATTTTGATAACATCAATTATAGTCACCAATACACAGTCGCATCCCCCGGAGCCACCCTTGTATCGATGGATGAAACTGGAGCCCCGAATTCTCTGTTGGCCTCCAGACAAAGATGTCTCAGTGGAAGGACTCTCCTTTGGAGTCCCTTGGTACCGTAGGAAAGAGATTGTAGAGCCCTGGTTGGAAGCTCCAGCCCAAAAAAGGTCTTCAAGGAGTAGATCTATGGCAGCATTGGGTTCGGGGCTTTCCTTTAGGGTTCTAGGCGCTCTAGAGCTGTGTATCTCATAGAGTCTCTGAGAACGAGCAGACTCGTTGCTTGGCTTGTCCCTCGTCAAGACCATCCACAACTAAGGGATCTGTAGCCTCCCATCCAATCATAACCGAGCTTAGGCCTTCAATGAAGATGTCTTAAAGGACTGATGTGTTATGCGGCCACGAAAAAAGCCTATAATACCCTAATCAGTGATGGAACCCACAGCAGCCACACGGGGTGGCCTCTGGAAGCACATGTGTTTTTATTTCCTGGGCACAATTGATTTGTAATCTTGGTAAACAGGATTTAACAGATTAGACGTGTAACAAGCACACACAGACAACGCCACGTGTGTGTCCTGGGGAGCGAATGGCATTTTCTTGCCTCCTTTTTTTTTTTCTTTTTTTGGACTCGTGCGTTTATTTGCTCGCTGGCTGGCTCTCGGCTTGTATGATTGATACTTAATGCCGCTGTTAGCCTCGTTAGGATATCGTCGTCCTTCTGTCCTTCTGTCCTTCTGTCGTCCTGCCGCGTGTGCGTGTCTGTCGCCATCGTAATAGCCAGTTTTATTGCCATTTCTTTTGGCTTTTGTTTGAGTCTAAGCCGGGCGCCAATTAGCTGCCCGTTGGGGCCTGGCTTTTTTCCATTTGTCAACGTTAATTGATGATGAGCACTCATTTGGTATCCATCAGTCAGTCAGTCAGTCAGTCAGTCGGAGAGTCGAAGAGTAAGGAAATCTGGCACTGGATTTCAATTAATTTATGCCAATGCCTAATTTTGATAACACAACGAGATGGCGATGCCGATGGCGATGCCGATGGGCAGGTGTTGCCGTATCTAATGAAGCGACCACATGGCGTATGATCAATGAACATTAGCAATTCCAATGGCAAGAGCATAGCAGCAGAATGGTGGCAAAAATAGCAGGAATATTCCACTCTCCAGACCCTCAACCTATCGATTATCCGCTTACAAGGCATTCCTTTCGTTTTGGATCCTCAAAACCCACTATAACAGGGACCTCCCCGAGGGTGGACACACCCAGTTCCCAGTTCCCAGTTCCCAGTACCATTTACCGACCAATCGGTAATTATTAAGTTGTTCAACTGCTGCATACCGATTGGGGGGGGCCCACCATATCCCCAGCCCCATCCCCAGCCATCATCCTGGTCATTGAGCTTCATTTGCGGAGCCGGCATCTGTCTCGCGGCGATAAAAATTGCATGCAATTATGCCTTCGCCTCGTGGCTCCTCGTTACCCCCCAAAAATTCCCAAAAACCAGTGGCAAAAAATTGGGCAAAATCGAACCAAATCCGGTAACCGGTATGGGATGTCCGTCCGTCCGAGTGTGTGGGTGTCCGCGGGTGTCCGCGGGTGTCCCTGTGTGTAAGAAGGTGTCCGTGTGTGTCCGTGTGTGTCCGTGCCTGTCCCTCTGTAAATATCCGCCTGTGTGTGCTTCCGTATCCGTATCCGTTTGTGTGCGTTTCGTTGGTAATCAAACGCTTAATTAATATGACACACGAATACAAGCTCGTACAGCGGGGGTGTATCGCATCGCATTGGCATCGTTTTTCGGTTTTTCGCATATTTCTGATAACACTCGCGCCGTCCTGCCGACTCGCCAGTGTCCTTTGGCGAGCGAGCGGGCGAGAGAAAGAGAGACAGCGAGACAGCGAGAGGGAGAGTTCCATGCTGAGACCTTAGTTCCTTAGTTGAGGGCATCGTTTGCGGTAATTGCTTCATAATTGAACAATTATGCAAACGTGATTGAAGTGATTATATGCCCCTGTTTCTGTGTGTACCCCATGCCGATCCCATTTCCACATCAATTCGTTTCCCCGCCCCCCGCCATCTCCTGGTTTACGCGTTAATTGAATGGATTTCCTATAGTTTTTGTCGTTGTCGTTTCTTGTTTTTTTTTTTTGCCCACATCCGAAATTAGTTAAACATGAAATTTCTATGCTAATTTCGACCTCTTTATGCATGCGGCCACAAAAAGGGCCGAGAGCTTTGGGCTCACTCGTTATTGTTTTAATATTACATTAAGAATCGTTTTGTCTATGGAAACGACAGGCAGAGCTGGGTAATAATATTCCTCCAGCTTGAATTGTTCTGCGCTGGGTGGCCGTTGCTCTAGCGAGTACATGGTCAGACTTTCGGCGAGTGAGGGGAACGAGAACAAGAACATACGCTTGTGGGTGTGGCTTTTGTCGGCTCGTTGTTCTAGCTGGTGGTTTTAATGCAGGCACTCGTTATTTTGTGGTCTCCAATTCAAGAATTTCCTTAGGAAACAAATCGAACGAATCCACGAATCAAAGTGACTTTTTCTAATGGATTTCGGGACTCTAGTTTTTTATAGAGTTCTTTTAGAATTCGTTTTCTGGGCAAGGTGTTTTTTAATTATAAATTAATTATACAAAATTGTATTTTTAAATGTTTGTTTTTTTTTTTTTTTAGAGGTTGTGCGGTATTTTTTTCTTACAAATTTTGACTTTGAAAAGGAAATATTTTTTAGGCCCATGCTTTATTGGCAGGATTTTATCGAGAGACTTAGCGTAGGATATTTTTTTTTTTAATTTTGTTTTTAATTTTTTTTAAATTTATTTTTCTTAAATTGTTTCTTATTTTTTTGAACAATTTTTTTTTTTAATTTTTTTAATTTTGTTTTTATTTTGTTTTTAATTTATTTTTAGATTTAATTTTAATTTTTTATTTATTTTTTATTATTTTTTATTATTTTTTTATTTTTTTTTTATTTTTTTTTTTTAAATAATTATATCGATCCCCAAGGATATCTGCCCAGCATCTGGCTCTAATCGGGCCATTTTTCGGTGTTGCATTCGATTGATTTTTTTGCCTTTTTTCCTCATGGAATCTGCTCTGGGATTCTTCACCTTCAAAGCCCTCGCCAAAGCAGAAGGTTGTGCCTCGAACCTGCATTTATTTATTATTATTATTTAGCCGAGGAGCTTGCGGAATTGCAATTCCCCAAATCTGTGTGTATTCAGGGGACTAGGAAAGATTGAAATCAGTTTCGAAAAAGAAAAGCACAACAAAGAGGAGGCGGCAAGGGGAGGCAAGGAGGCGAGGAGGCGAGGAGGCAACCATTTGTGGCACCTGGTCATTAGTGTCTGACTGACGGAACTTAAATTTAAAGTGTAACATCAATCATGGGGTAGCAACGAGGACAAGACGCCGAGGCTAGGCTCAAGTGCTCACACGCGGGGCTTCCTGTTGCTCCTGCGGCATAGCCAGGGGCATGGGGCAGGGGCAGGGGCAAGGGGGGGGGGGGGGAGGGTGCCAGACCTGCCACAACTCGAATTGTAATGACGCAACAATTTAAAGTTTGTCGTTGATGCTGCAAAACTCGGTGCTAATGGCGTCAGCGTCAGCGTCAACGTCTCTCAACTCATCTTTATCCCCCAGCATCATTCTGGTTGCCTGGGTCCTACTGGATCCTGGGTCCTGGCCTGCTCTGCTCTGCTCCGTTCAGTGTTGTTGTTGATGACGGCGATTATTTGCGCCATGAACACATGGAAGCAGCTGCAAAAGGTGCCACCCGGGCATGGGATAGTACACTTCAGACCCGGCCAGCAGCCTTATGACTCGACTCCAGCAATTCAAACTTTAAGCTGTCGACGGGGCAATGTCGAGCACTGCAAACTGCAGACAGGCACAGAAGGAGATGGCCTCAGCACAGATAGAGATAGAGATGGAGATGGAGATGGAGAGAGAGAGATGCAGACACTTGGCAATACAAATTGAAATAGTTCTTCTGGCCTTCTTCTGTACTGCTCCGTGTTCCGTATTCGGCCTGGCTCTATATCTGTCTCAGTTGCAGTCGAGTTTGACTGTTGCTCTGCAGGATGTATTAATATAAATGAATTATTCGCATGACGCTCTCCAGTCTCCAGCCTCCAGCCTCCATCTCTGGCAGTCGCTGCTTGATAGATATTATGATGGATACGCCTTAACGACGCTGCAGCTTGTAGCCAAAACTTGGCCAAAACTTTATGGCCAACATGAAGGGGGAGGAAAGAGAGTCCAACACCTGACACTCGTAACGGCGCAGAGTCAGTAAGGCAACGGCCAAGTAAATAAAACGAATCACTCGGCTACTCCGTTAAGTTCTAATGAATGAACCAGGGTACAGTTGTGTCCGCATGGCGTGAACGGAACTAGTTCCAGCTAAAGCTGCAGATTCGCAGCCAGATCAAGGAAGCGGAACTGGTACAGTTGTGGGGAACGAAATGAACTAGTTCAGCGTGCCCAACACCACTTAAACCCAAAATGACCAACTGTACTTGAGAACGAGCCCTGAACAATGCTCGAGCTGGGCGCAGACAGCCTGCCCCCAAGATAGGAGGCTCCACCCGCCTCTTGGCCCCCCCCTCCCCCCTTCCCCCTGTTGCATACAATTTGCCCATGGCCCTGGGGCGGTAACAGCAATTTAGACAAGTTTATTTATATGAATGTGTAGCCCAGACACAGACGGGGCTGGCTGCAATGTTGCTGCGGTTGCAGGAGTTCATGCAACGTGCAACGTGCAGCGTGCAACATACAAAAGGCGCTTGGGGGCAAGTTGCCAGCTAATGATATAATGAGCTAATCAATACAATTAATTAGCATTATCTGCATCCTTAAACGGGGGCCCGGCCAGAAGGCGGGCGCACAGCTCGAGGATAGTTCTTGGAGTGTGGGTATTACCGAGTCACCGAGTCATCCAGTCACCGTGGGGAGTCCACCGTTCATGGCTGACGAGGTGACCCCAAAAACCCGCAACCGAAACCCATTTTGACTGACAGTTGAGCGCAGATCCCAGCAGGATAATGGCTGGTAAGAGGATATAGTCGTGCAGGAGGAGGGCGGGTAGGAGTGGGGTCCGGATACAAATGAGGACGGACCGGAGGAAGGATTGGGTGGGCTGTTGAGGTAGAGAACGGATTCATTCCTTCAATCGCAATCTCTGATTCCTGGGGTGCGCCTTGGCTTGCCCTGGCCTGGCCATTGCTGCGTAAAAAGTGGGCTAAATGTCGTTGCCAGTATCCTGTGGAGGCAGCTTATCCCCCTCCCCTGCCACTCCGAGGGGGGGGGGGGGGGGGGGTTGCAACTTGAAGGCTGTGAAGCGCTCACCAAAATGGTCCAATTGCCGGCCAAGTGGACCAAAAGTGCCGACGTCGCCTGTTGGATCTACGTCTTCTCTATATCTCTCTCTCTCCCTCTGTCTCTCTCTCCCTCTCTCTCTCTCTCCCTCTGTCTGTCAGTCAGTCTCTCTTTCTCACATACTTCATGGCTATTCCTCTTGCGCTGTCCTGTGCACCTGAATTGCTGCCATGGACTATGGACTCCGCCTGCCTCTTCAAGTAAAGCACTTAAAAATTGATGAAAGAGTTGGGGGAAATTCTTCGACTTCCTATTAACGATTTTTGTGTAAGCGAAACGATAAAAGTCCCTTTAAATTTAGTTGACCAAACGGGTCCGGAGTGTCATTCGCCATCAAAATGTGTACCATAGAAGAGATTTGTTTAAAACTTGCAAAAATAGTCATCGAAAAGCTATCATCTAATCGTCAGCAGCCAAGGCGCATCTTAGAGCACGAAACCAGTGTTGGTAAGGCCCATTAGAGTAGGCCAATGGTAGTTCTTTGGCTGTACGCGCTAATCATCGGCCAAGGAAACGTCCCACCACTGTCAATAGATAACCAAAGCATCGCACCAGTGTTGGAAAGTACCAATATCAGTTATAATCAACTCAAAAGATCTATAAACCATCTTAGACTATTGCACCAGTATTGAAAAGTACCAAAAGTACACAAAAGATCTGTAAAACATCTGAGAGCACGAAACCAGTGTTGGTAAGGCCCATTACAGAAGACAAGGCAGTTTTCTGGCTATGAGCATTAATCATAATCATTGTCCAAAGAAACTGATCAACACTAGTAAAAGATATCACACCAGTGTTGGCAAGTACCAATATCAGTTCATAAGTAACACAAAAAATCAATAAAACATTCCGAATTGCTCAAAAAAAACTTTTTCTTTTTCGAGAAAAGCTTTCTGCCAGTGTTGGTTAAGCCCAAACCGATCAATGGGAAAATTGATAAGCGAAATTGGCCATTAGTTAGGCCAAAAATGCGATTAGAATTCAATTAGAATTTTTTTGTGTACCATAATTTATGATCGAATTACGATTAAATTTATTCAATGCCCAAAACCATAGATGGTCCGATGGCTAAACATATATTATTGATGGCAATAGCTAATAACTTGGGCAGCAGAGCGAAGGGGGTGGGGAGGGAGGGAGGGAGGGCGGAGGAATGTAACTACAATGCAACGTGCATGGTGCATGCCGCATGAAGCGAGACAATACAAAATACTTGGCGAAAATTGTGGCCACTAACCGAAATTGCATTTTCTTCAAGCCACCCAAACCACTCTCCTGCACCCTCTGACCCGATGATGACTCTTCCACAGCTCCTGCTGCTCCCACAGCTCCTGCTGCTCCTGCCGCTGCTGTTTCTGTTGCTGCCACAGCCAGTGGAAGCGTTATTGTTGCATGCCATAAATGATGCTGCTAAAGAGTCAAGAATAATCCGCTTTTGTGTGGAATAGCGCGCCACCGCCACCGACAGCGAAGGGGAGCCCGAGGGGGATCCCAGATGGAGGAGAATCGAGCAGATCCATTGCAGATCCATTAGATAATATTTCATTAGAGCATGGCTGATCCTTTGCACACACACTCAAGGGTTTCCCGAAAAATATTTCCAAGCAAAAGTTTGCCGAAAATGGACTTGAAGGGTGGCCACAGGGTGGTCCATGTGCAGAGCATGTGGAAGTTGCAAACAACATGGCGCAACAAGAACTGGGACACACGCTTAGAAGGAGGGAGAGAGAGGGAGAGAGAGAGAGAGAGACACATACCCTGGACAGGACAGGCACAAAGTCGTGGTTTCAAAATCCAAGCATCCAAGAATACAAACAATAACAAAATGAAGGAGAAGAGGGGAGAGGGGAGAGAGGAGAGGGGAGGGAGGAGAGTAATACACACACACACACACACACATACAAATTAAAAATGCAGATTTCTATTGCAACATTCGGAAGTGCTTGAAAAATTGTTGTTGTTGCTGCTGCTGCTGCCACTGCCACTGCCATCGTTATTGCCAGGACTATTCCCTGCCCAGCCCCATGCCAACCCATGCCAACCCATGCCACCCCTCCCCACCCCATTCCTGCCCCAGCCACGTTGCTGCTTCCTGCTGTTCCTGTTCCAAAAGCCTCCCAAAAGCTCCTCCTCCTCCGACGGCTCTTTCTATTCTCTTCTGGTACGCCTCTCGCCCCTCTGTTTTAGATACACTTCTTCGAGAGGGGGATATATTTTTTAAGATTACCACTATATCATTGCTTTAAGGGACCAGCCGGGCTCTAGAGCCCCCTAAAATTGAGAAAACCACACCAGGAATACTGGAATATCCCCAGAGATATAGGCACCTAATCATACCTCCTCGCCTCTATTAGAAGACTTTGTATTCCTTAGTCCTTACGCTCCAGAGTATTTGCAAATTCGGGGCCCAACTCCAGTTCTCTCTCTCTCGTTTTTTTTTTTCGTGTTCTGCAATAGCATCAAAATTGCAAAGAAAAGCCAGCAAACAGTCAGTAAAATATTGTAGCTGGCAGCTGCTCGATGGTCTGGAGTGTACACGGACTGGAGTTCTGGGTTAGTTGGGGGCGGAGTTGGGGGCGACGGGTCGACGGGTCGTGGCTAGTTTTGTATGAAAAGCGAGCGTAACAGAACAATGAAAACATCGTCGTCATCACAATCATCGCCATGCGGTGTTTTCTTGCCATTTGTTTCCCCAAAACTCTTTTGCTCCCTCTCCCTCCCTCTCCCTCCCTCTCTCTCGCTTCAGCACGCACAAAACCAACAACAACAACAACAACAGTTGTTCCGAGTCCTAACATTTCCATTTCGATCTGGGCTATACCCTTCCAAGAAGAGACTAAATCTTGTACCCCTTGATTAGGGCAGAAAATGTAGTAAAAGGAGGTCCTAGAGCGGTCCCAGAGATTCCTTTTTTTCCTAGAAAAATATATATATATATTTCCGAAAGATTGATTTGTATCTCTTAAGTATATATCAAAAAAATCGGCTCGTTGTTGTGTGATAATTATTGTTTGGGGTTTTCCCACCCTATCGGTGAGTAGGGCATCCCTGGACCACGAATGAACGGCCACTCTACGGCCACGGAAGGATCGATATTTAGACCGAGGCTCGATCAATCGGAATGGCACAGAAATAAACATAGAAAATATCCAAGAAGTAACTTTATTTCATGCTATTTATTGTAGTAATTTTATTGTATTTTTTGGCATAGTCTCTGTCCTGCTGGTAAAACCCATGAAAACCGTACTTTGTGCCTTGTGGCAGCCTGAAGTTGAGCTCCACTAAACCAACAACCCCTCCCCCCCCTGCCGAAAGCCCCTGATGCTGAACCCCTACCCAGCCCTCAGCCCTCAGTCCTCAGCCTTCAGCCCTCAGCCCTTAGCCCCTTCATCGTCCTGCGGTGCATGTGTGCGCATTGTCTTTGATGTTGCTGTTGTTGCTGTTGGTTCGGCTTCATCTTCAGCTGCAGTTACAGGCCTCGTATCTGTGCCACGTCTAAGTCTAATGTTTCAAGCGTCAGAAGCAGGAGTGCAACAAACACGAAGAGAAAACAACAAAAAAAAGGGAGAACAAAAGCCATGGCCAGACAATTAACCAGCCATCAGTCATTTGGTTTTGCCGGCACGCACTGGGGGGCAGCCATCCCTCCTCCCCTCTCCCAAACAGAAGCCAGTGGGAGGTGATGTACTTCGTAGTAACCCCAAAATGGTAGCCGTTGAACCAACAATTCATTTGAAAACTGTTCAAGGAAATCTTCCAAATCTCCCAAAACATATATATATATATATATATATATATATATATATATATATATATATGTGGATGCTATCACCGTTCGGTGTTACAGGGGTTTTTCGATAGGCTACTCCGTTTGGAGGCCTTTGGATCCCCCACCAGTCTGTGACGACGCCCAACGTCAGTCGCGACTGAATCATGCCCAAGCAATGCAAATGCTTTTGCCTGTCTTGTGGCCTCCGGCTCGTGCTCGGTCACAGCAATTAATGATTCTACTGTTGGGCAGAGCTGTCCTAATCCCAGAATACCCCTCCTAACCCTCCATTGGTTCTATTTTACGGAGCATAAATTATGCACAGACATATTGGCCAAGTGCAAGGCAAGGTTCCAGCCCGTGCTCGAGTGTGCTCCACCCGTCCCCCCCCCCCCCCCCTCTCCGCCACTCCGGGCATAAACCTCAACCACTGCCAGAATGTGTTTGGACAGATTTATGGCTTCCATAAATTGCATATTTCCAATTTTATTGAATTAATTAATTTCACAAATAAAATTGTGCGAAAAGGAAATACAAAAAAAAAAAAAGAAAAATATGGCTTTAAAATTTAGTAAAGGATTCAAATTGATCGATGGTGCGCCTCCGGAGCAAAGGAATCTCTTCGGCTGTATCTGTATCTTGTCAATTATATTCCAATCAGGCAAAACCGTGACGGTAATCCGTCAAACGAGTAACCAATATAAATGCAATGCGCTTTTGGTGGCTGCAATGGCGATGCCGGGGGTCGGGGGTCAGGGGTCAGGGGTCAGGGGTCGGGCTCTGATCGTTGGGCTTCCGTTTGGCCAATCCTTTAGGGCTG